GTACAAATGTTTAGGTTACGTATATTGCCTTTGTCCCACCTGAGTCAGAGCTTCAAGCGTGTCCATCCCCCAGACAGTGTGCACTGCTCCCATTAGGTGTGAATATACCTATTTCCTCCTCCCCCCCACCTGCCCAACACCAATGAATGTTACTACTATATGTGCACATAAGTGTTGATCAGTAATGCCAATTTGATGGTGAGTACATGTGGTGCTTGTTTTTTCATTCTTGTGGTACTTCACTTAGTAGAATGGGCCCCAGCTCTATCCAGTATAATACAAGAGGTGCTAGATCACCATTGTTTTTGGTGGCTGAGTAGAATTCCATGGTATATGTATACCACATTTTATTAATCCACTCATGGATTGATGGGCACTTGGGTTGTTTCCACATCTTTGCAACTGTGAATTGTGCTGCTATAAGCATTCTAGTGCAGATGTCTTTTTTATAGAATGTCTTTTTTCCTTTGGGTAGATGCCCAGTAGTGGGATTGCTGGATCAAATGGTAGTTCTACTTTTAGCTCTTTGAGGTATCTACATATTACTTTCCAAAGAGGTTGTACTAGTTTGCAGTCCCACCAGCAGTGTATGAGTGTTCTTATCTCTCCATATCCACGCCAACATTTATTGTTTTGGGACTTTTTGATAAAGGCCATTCTCACTGGAGATAAGTGATATCTCATTGTGGTTTTGATTTGCATTTCCCTGATGATTAGAGATGTTGAGCATTTTTTCATATGTTTGTTAGCCATTATTCTGTCTTCTTTTGAAAAGTTTCTGTTCATGTCCTTTGCCCACTTTTTAATGGGGTTGTTTGATTTTTTTCTTTCTGATTTTCCTGAGTTCTGTAGAGATTTGAGTTATCAGTGAAGTCAGGGCTTTTAGTGTACCTGTCACCCGAATAGTATACATTGTACCCAATAGGTAATTTTTGATCCTTCATACCCTTTCCATTCCCCCTCTCCTGGGCCTGATGCCACTCAGTATGACCATGTATACCCATCACTTAGCTTCTACTTATAAGTGAGTACATGTGCTATTTGTTTTTCCATTCCTGGGATACTTCACTTAGGATAAAGGCTTCCAGTTCCATCCAACTTGCCGTGAAAGACATTATTTCACAGAATGACTGCATTTGTATGTGTCTGCCATCTTTCCTTCAGCATAATGGTTGAAATTTATCTATATTGTTGTATCAGTAGTTGGTTCCTTTTTATTATTGAGTAGTATTCCCTCATATGAATGCACTGCAATTTGATGATCCACTCTCCTGTTGCTGGACATTTGAGTGTTTCCAGTGTTTGGCTATTATGAATAGAGATACTATAAACATCTGTGTATGAATCTTTTTGTGACATATGCTGTCATTTCCCTAGTACTTAGAAGTGGAGTTTGCTGGGTCTTACAGTAGGTGTATATGAAACTGCCAGAGTTCTAGTTTAACACTGAACTTCAGAGTGATGAATCTTTAGGGGTTGTTTTTTTATACTCTGCCCTTTGGAGAAAGATGGTACCTCTAGTTCCTTATTAAACCTCTTGTAAGGGAATTGAAGGATTATCTGTTTTGCATTGAATTGCATGTTTTGGGTTTCATTTAGGAGGAAAGAGAGTTGAGGCAATAAATAATATCTACCTTTTAACTTCCTGAATTCAGATCCAATTGAGGAAGCAGCCAGAAGTCAGACCGATGTTGGCTTGGATATCAGCTTTGTTACTGATACAGCAGATGAGGGCGCATGTCTTAGATATGTGACTGGATGGGCTTCAGACACTCACCTTTCCAGTCGCAGGCAGGCTTGGCCAGCCCAGGCTTCTCACACAAGCAGGAAGAGAAAATCTACCTCCCCCCAAACACCCTCCCCCATGCAGCTGAGTCTTCATCCAAGCCTTACTGATGAGATATGTCTGTCTCTTCCAAGGGAAGGCCCTTGTAGGTGAGGGACAGGAGCCAAGAGCCAGATGGTGGCCTCCTCCCCCATGTGTCTCTCCTGGGCAGTAGAAACTCTTATGGTTAGCAGAGGCACTTGGGATTCACTTCCCAGGGAAAGCTCATGACCACTAGGACCTCACCAAGCTGTTTACTGTTTACTGTGTTTAAAACCTTTCTGCATTAAGGGTTTAATTCCATGTTCCATCAACATGGAATGATTTTTAAAATCTTACTTCGCAGAAGACAATGCCTGCCTACCAGCTAAGACTTACTTTTTAAGATTTGGATTATGTGCTCTTCTCTATATGTTTCTTTCACAGTTTTTATGTTTTTATTCATTCTTAGCAGGTTCCGAAAATCCACTTAATGGTTCGCTAGGCAATCATTTTGCTATTTTCATGTATGTTAATGTATTTTAATGTGTTATAATGTTGTATTGCAGTTGCTAGAAAGAAATACAAAAAACAGATGTGAGCCCAAGAGTGATTTTTCTTTCTTGATGTGCTATTGTTGTACCTTCTTGAAAAAGATTAAACTATGCTAAACATGGTGTTGTAAAAGGCTGCTCTGCTTTCCACCTAACTTTATTTATAAGTAAGCTACAGAAAGAGAGCATTTTACTTATTTATATACTTTAAAAATTTTGAATTGTTGTCCTACAGAAATGAGAAATGGTTTCTACTTGGGTGATAATTTCTCCTTTCTGTTGGACCTAAATATCACCTGGTTACTATCTCCCTGCTCTTTTGGCAAGGTCATCATTAAGTGTTCTGGAAATAAAAGGAGTAAAATATATGTTCATTTTTGTGGCTTAAAAACTTTTTTAAAATGTAGCAAAATTATTTTTAAATAGTTTGGTTATTGAATAATAAAATAATAAACAAAATATATATATTTACTTTTGTATTTTTCTCTACTTGGTTTTACATTCTGATAAGGAAAACAGTGTTATTTATTTTTCAAAAAGAAAATAAATGATAATGTTGATTCTTAGTGTTCAAAATGCATATTAATTTTCTTGGGGGATGGATGATAAATGGAAGACATTTATATGCGGTATGTATATAGAATATACCTTTTGTTTGGAATTTGAACACATAATTTGGCACTTTTCTAGCTCTCCTTGTTGTTTTCTATCCCAGTTGAGGTTCTCACTGTTCCCCCTCAAAATTTATTCCTGATATTAACCCAGTGTAAATATTTCCTGCCTTATCATCAATTGGTTGAGTGTCATTAGATTGCTTAGTGAAATTATGCCTAAGAGTGTTGGGGTTTGTCTGTCCTAAGTGGCCCTCTGAGCATATACTCATAATTCTGTTGTCGGTTCTTCCCTGAAAAGCGGACACTGTATCAGTTTGAGTGTGAGGTCACAATTTTTTGGGTGGAATCTTTGCTTACCATGGTGATTTTCCCTCCTGCTGTTTCAGCTCCTTATGAAGCTCGACAGCCCCTTGTCCAGCCTGAAGGACCCTCATCAGGGGGTCCAGGACCCAAGCCCCTTCGGCATCAGGCATCCCTCATCCGGGTAAGTGATGATATGGGGTTATGCCAATAGTGGAGACAAGCTTTGGAGTTTGGGGACATGGCTTTTTGATGAGCCATCTTTTTCATTGCGAGGAAGTTATAAAACAACCTCCTTATGTAAATACTGTGCTTTTTGTTCTGTTGCTTGTACATTTTCCTAAATATTTTCTGCTATGTATGTTTCTATCCCTTCTCAGTGTCTCTAGAATAATCTAGGCTGGTTCTTGATCTATAGTATGTCTAAAATGCCCTTCTACCCTCATCTACCTAATCAGTAGGCACCATCTCTGGGCGAGCTTCACTTTTTCTAAGGCAGCCTGTCTTGTGTCCGCCTTATTCTTTATTGTTACTCATTCAGTGCATAGTTAACTGTTTTCCATTTGTTTTGTGCCTCCAGTTATGTGGTAAACTTTTGGAAGGCAGAGGCAGTTCTTCTGTATTGTCTCTCAGTGCCTAGGGCAGTGCTCTTTGGAGAACAGTTATTTTATAAGTGGCAGCAGCTACTGTTTCCTAAATGTAATAGATACAAAAGAAATATTAGGACAAAAGCACAGGTGACATCTCAGCTTCTCCTGGCTACACCATAGCTTAGACATTTTCAGCTTCCCTTTCTTCAGTGTTTTCCTTTGGATAAAGAGCCCTTATTTTTTTCTTGTGTCTGCAGCTATTGTCTTGTGTATTATCTCTGGGTCCTGTACTAGAGAAATTATATTTTCAAAGAACGGTGTGTGTGTGTGTGTGTGTGTGTGTGTGTGTGTGTGTCTACATGAGAGAAATTACAAAAAAACTGGGTTTACTATTTGACACTAAAGAGGAAGTGGGGTGGTTTGTGTAACATTTCAATTGTGTAACTCAGGAAGAAGGAGCATTTGTGCACAGGCAGTTATACTCGGCGTAGAAGTGTAGTGTCAGATACTCCCATAAAGAAGTGGGCTGCTAGTCTGAAATGGAATAAACAAAATCCGAAGAAGACCCAGGTGTTCACTGAATACCTTCTGGAGATGGGGTAGTGTGTTAGACTTGGTGCAGAAGTTGGTCCTATAAGGAGGTGCTCTGTGTACAAAGAACTTTCTTAAGATAATTTAACCATATGCTATGTATTTATATTAACGCTTCCTACAACCGTGAGATCTAGATCCTGCTGTCTCTATTAGTGTGGATGAGTTGACTGTGGCTGAGAGAGGTCAAGTAGCTGATCTAAGGTTTCATTCATAACTAGTAATTGACACAGCCAGAATTTGAATCCAGGCCCATCCAGTGTCAAAACTTGTGCTTTTAAATACTTTGCCTTACATTAGAGTCCCATATTCCAAGGAGGCAAAGTTCTAGAGTTGCTGCATAAACAAATGTGGGGTGTAGTAAAAAATATTCTCAAAAATCCCTTATTGGTATCACACTGGAAAACCAATATACCGTTCACTTCTAAGGGGCAATACAGCCCAGTTTCACCCCCAAGTTGGAATAGACAGTTGTTTCTTCAGCTGAGCCCCAGATGTAGCAGTTGGCTGCATTTAGAAATCCTGTGGTACAAAAATATGTGCTTTTAAACACAAGAATCACGCCCACCGTGGAGTGATGTTTACATTAGGAAAGGTATTGAAGGGACTGGGATTCATCCCAAATTCTTCAGGGTGTGCCATGCAGGTTCCTGCAGAGTGTGTTCTGGTTCTATAGAGACCAAATCCCGAATGGTTAGAATGATGGTCAAACAAGCAGTGAGTCCTGAGCTTTGCAGTGGTAGCAACGGGCTCGCCAGACCCTTTCTACCTAGCCCCCTGGCTGGGATGGCCATGGGCGCACACTTGGATTGGTGCCCTGTGACGTGTCTTCTAATCTCTAGGTCCCCTTTCTACTGACACACATGCTTCTTGAGCTCTTTACTCAACGAATATTTAGTGAACACCTCATAAGTGCCAGGTACTGTGTTGAGAATACAAAAATGAGGTATAATACTAGCAGTTGCTGCCCTCATACAGAGCTTTTGGAGGAGACGGTCACTGAGCAAACCATCACAGAGTAAATATGGAATTATGATATGGGATGTGAATACAAATTACACTATGCTTTGAGGATGAAAAATGAAGGTGGGGTGTGACCCAGCCTTGAGGGGCAAGGGCTGATCAAAGAAGACTTCTAGGGGAGAGTAACATTCGAGTTGGAATGAGAAGAATACAAGGGTGTTAGCCAGGTGAGGGGGTGGAACCGGGGAGCAAACAAGAAGATAGAGGGAACCGCATATACAAAGACATTTTCTGTGTGCTTGACATTTTATGCACATCATCTCTTTCAATGCCCGTAGCTACCTTATGAGGTAATTACTGTTGTTATCCCATTTTTCAGATGACAAAACCTGACATTTAAAGACCTTATTTAATTTGCCCAAGGTCACAGCTAAGAAGCGGCAGGGCTGGAGTTCAAACACCGGACATGATTCCTCGGTCTCTGGCTCAGGAACCAGATGAATGGTGATGTCATTTGTTGAGCTAAGAAGCCCTGGATGAAACACTGGCATTGGGGAAAGATCATGAGTTCAGTGTTGGATGTCAGGAATTGAGCTTTTGAGATAGCCCAGAGGAGGTGTCAAAGAGTTGGTAGGTTACATGGGTCTGGAGCTTTGGGGAGAGCTGATACCGGACATAGGTATTTGGCAGCAATTGGCCATCAAAAGCTCTCATGGTATAGTGCAGAAAAAACCAGACAGGTTCTCGCCCAGGTCCAACCAAACTCTGTGTGACCTTGGACAAATTCCTTCTCTGTTCTGTAACGTGAATGACTTTGAATGGATTTTACAGTCCATTGTAACAATCTGCAACAGTCTGATTGTCTTAATGTTTGGCATCAGTGGAGGCCACCCCTCCCCTGCCCCCATCTGGAGCATGGCCTTCTGTTTAAGATGAGAGCAAGGGGCCTTTCTCGCCCAGGTAGCAGTCTGTGGTTTTCATGGCTGATGTGTTTTTCTTTCCTCAGTTCTTAAGTTTCCTTCTTATGCCTGTTAACTTGGTTTGGCTGGACTCCATGTTCCAGAAAGCAAAATGCCAACCTGAATTAGTCACGTAGAGGAGGGGATTTGAAGTGAAGGTTCTTGGTGGTAGGGGATTAGTGTTTATTGGGCATGGTGCTAGACTAGGCTGGGATGACTAATTCCCCTCAAGTTGCCATGTTAATGTGCTGATGGCAATCTTCTCTGTCTCTTCTAGCTTCCTCTCTGGTCTTGTATTCAAGTCTTTCCTGCCAGGTTAGCAAGGGACATGACCTCTGAGTCCTGGAGGAGGCTTTTAGGGACCCCCAGCCAGTGCTGTTGCAGCCCATGGACTTGGCATTTTAGAGGTGCATATGCCAAATTCAGTGCCCAAAGATTGAGATGATTAGTCTTTTTGCTTAATATTTTAGGAATTTCACTTTTTTTGTTATTCGAGTGTTGGATTTTTCCCTTTGAAATTTCCTATATTAATACTAAGCATATATTGTGTTTGTGAAATGGTTGATAATGGTTGGAAACAAGTTATAAGTCTTATTTCCTACTTCATCAGTTATCATGTGTTTAGAGGTCATTTTGTGGTTTACTTTTCACAAGTTATTGTAAACCTCTGGACGGTGTATAGTCATTTGTAATTTTGCTGGCATAAGATTGACAATTGCATCTTCAGCTCCCACGATACTCCACTGCCTCTGCTTTTGCCACGGTTGCTAGAAACTACTTTTTTTGTCTTATTTGACTTCTTGGCAGCTTTTGAAATTGACCACCTTCTTGAAACACTCTCATCATTTGGTGTTTGGGATGCCAGCTCTCTTGGTTTTCCTCCTGCTTCTGTGGCGACCTCTTCCTAATCTTCTTTTTCAATCCTCCTTCCTCTGTCTGCCCCTTACATGCTGGTGATCCCTGGGCCTGCTTCTCATTCTACTTACTCTACCTGGAGGCTACCTGGAGGCTGATGACTACATAGGTCCACCTGCCTGACATCTTTACTTGAATGTCCCACTGTCACTTTCAACTGACATGTCTTTCCCACAAGACCAGCGTTCACCCTTCCACTCCTGGCTCCATTGACCCATCAGCACAGGCCAGAAGGCTGGTCATTGTCTTTGACTCCTCTCTTATCCCCACCTTTTCTTTTGAGACAGGATCTCACTCTGTTGCCTAGGCCTAGAGTGCAGTGGCATTGTATCATCATAGCTCACAGCAACCACAAACTCCTGGGCTCAAGTGATCCTCCTGCCTCAGCCTCCTAAGTAGCTGGGACTATAAGTGTGTGCCACCATGCCTGTAGAGATGGGATCTCGCTGTGTTGCTCAGGCTGATCTTGAACTCCTGCCTCAAGTGATCCTCCTGCTTCCACCTCCCAAAGTGCTGGGATTACCAGCGTGAGCCACTGTGCCTAGCCTCTCTCATCCCTATGCTCATTCAGTTACCAAGTCCTGGCCATTCCACTTCTCAAATAACTCTCTTGTGTGTCCATCCCTCTGCACTTCTTGGTTCAGGCTGTTATCCTCTGTCACCGAATCTATTATATCAGCCTCAAACTCTTTCTTCTTGTTGCCACTCTTGCCTTCTTCCAATCCATTATTCTCATTGCAGACTAAAACAATCTTAAAAACACAAATCTGATCATCCTGTTGACTTGATTGAAACATATCACTCTCTGCCCATGGCGCTCAGCATGTCATCTGTGTTCCTGAACGTAGTCCCTGCTTACCTCTTTGGTCACACAGCTCGCTGCTTCTCTCCCTCCACACTCTGGCCGTGCAAAGCTGCTGGCCGTTTCCCATATGGTCAGCGTTCTCTGTGTGTGAACCTCACTCTTCACCCCCACTTTTGCCTTCTTTGTTTTCTGTTTCGTCTCAATTTGTCTATGCATTTTCCTCCATTGAGAACACGAAATGTGAGTTTTCTAATCTTTTCTTGTACATGCGATGTCCCCATTTTTTTCATTCTTAAAGAAAGTAGTTCACTGCTCGTCTGCTCATTTATCCGCGAAACTCAGCCAGCGGGATGGGAGTCTG